ACCCCATGGGCACAGTGCCCACCCTGGGGTGCTGCTGGGGGCACTAACCCCATGGGCACAGTGCCCACCCCGGGTGCTGCTGGGGGCACTAACCCCATGGGCACAGTGCCCACCCTGGGTGCTGCCAGGGGCACTAACCCCACGGGCAGAGCCTGGCACCGGCGCTGCCGCCGGCTGTGCAGCAAACAGGAACCACTTGCACCCAAAGCAAACAGAGTTGTTCTCATGGTTTTTCTGCAGGGCGGTGCAAAATGTGCACAAATGGGGCAAATTCATCTTCCCTTCAGCCTTGGGCTCTGTCAGAGCAGGTTTTCCTGAAGCTTATGATGATCGAATCCTCTTCAGATGCCCCTTTTTTTGTGCCTTTTTCTCTTCCCCACCAGAAATCTGGCTTATTTCTGTTACCTAAACTCTGAAAAGTTAATGGGAAAAGCCTTGGGAAAAGAGGGCAACGTTCCTGGGCACCGAGAAAGAACAAAGATCTAGAAAAGAAAGGGAAGAAAATGGCTACTCCTTAATTTCTAATTGCAGTATTTGGGGTGGGGCAGATATGGAAGACAAAAGAAAGCACATGGCACATGGGGGGGGGTGTTGGGGGAAGAGCTTCTGAGGACTTTTTGTAATCTTTTTCAGTTTGCTCAGTTCATCTGGGCCCCTGGAAGGAGGGTGGGAGCCCCAGCCCTGGAGCAGGGGCTGCTGGGGGGGTTTGCTCAGGGCTGAGCTCCTGCCCCGACCTCCCCAGCCCCGCGTCTGGCCGCGCTGCCGAGCGCAGCTTTGTTTACAGTGGAGCTGTGGTTGAATTACACCACATACAGTAATTCTCATCGCACTGCCAGTAATTTCACTGACTTACCAAGCAGGCATCATTTCCTGAAAGTCAGCCCCTGTACTTAGAGGAAGTAAGAGCACTCTCCTTCATGACTAAACACCCTATGCAAATCTCCCCGGCTCAGGACAGCCGTGCTGCATGGCTGTCCTTTTTTCCTCCATTTTCACTCCTTTCTTCTGCATGTTAATTTTTAAAACCCCTTGGTGAGCTCTCTTCCTGGCTGCTGCTGCTGTCGCGGTCATGAATGAAGACCTTTCTCCATTACATCCTGAAAAATCTCACCTTGCTGCTTCGTCCACCTCCTGCTCTGCCAGCAGCAAACTGAATGCTGGTTTAAAATGTCCCAAATGCAGTTCTGGCTAAAGTTCCCGTCTCTCTACAAGGTAATTCCTCATTTTTCTGGTTTTTTTTTCTCCTCCTTGGAATTCTTCGTGTGCTTTGTGTGGGAGCTCAGGCAGCTCCAGCTGCTCCCCCGGGCTGGTGTCCCCGTGGTGTTTCGGTGGCAGGGGAGGTCTGGGGGCAGCTCAGCAGCAGCTCTGTGGCTGCCCCGTGCTGCAGGGCACCTTTCCTGGAGACTCTTCCTGCAGGTTAGAACCTGGGCAGCGCCTGCAAAACTTGGAGGAAAAGGAGCTGTGTGGAGAATTGATCGCTGTGTTTATGTGCTTGTAATGGCTTTCAGGAGTTTTATTTTTAAACCAGATGTGGGTGCAGAAAAGCCAGGGAAACGCTTGCCAGCCAGAGCACTGAACCCTTAAGACTACAAGTCTATTGCCCCATATTTAGAATGACTCTGGGTTTTGGCAGCTAAAAGATTTTCTTTAAATGATCGACTGCTTGCATTGCAACTATTAGTTCTTGATTCTGTCTTTTCTGAAACATGATTTGCTCATTCTGTGATTTTCAAGACACCAAATCTGTCTTGTCTGGCAGTGTAGCTTTGATGCCTGTTTGTGCGTGCCTGGGTATAGAGACTTCTTTTATTTTAAAATCCCCTCTTAACTGTGTGCTGTGTAGTGGAGTAAGCAATAGTTGCTGTGCAGGGGGAGTATTTGTTTCCCCTGCGTCTGGATTGTGAGCAAATAAATTGTTTATATTGATGGCCAAAAGTATTTTTAGGATACATACTCCTGCATTTAGACTTCACCTGTTCTGTCATTATTTTTAACAAAGACTTTGTTTTGACTAAGGAAACTGAGCTGTTGCCAGAGGCTGGGAGAAGGAGATTAAGTGTTTGGGTTGGCTTACACTGTTTTTGTGATATTTTCTATGGAGTTAATCCTTGCTTTTGATAACTTCCCTGGTTTGGGATAACAGCAGAAATATTTGCACTCAGAGCTCGGAAGTCCAGCCAGTGAGTATCACTGATTTATCAAGATACTCACTGGATCATCTTCTGGCACAGAGAGCAGACAGTGATTTGTGATCCTCTATCTCCTGTTCTAGTATGTTGATGTTATTTCAACTTCAGTGTAAAAAACCCACCACGCTGTGGAGTGCTGCAGCCAGGAGCTGTGTGTAGCCTCTGCCTCGGCTGGTTTGACCCCTTACAAAATCCTCCCTTCTTCCACTGAGACATAACGTAAGTGCTAGTGCTGTAAAAACCTCTTCTTTCCAATGAGAAAAATTTAACATTCTTGTTAATCAGCCTTAAAGAGGGACAAAACAAGCTGCTTCAGAGCCTGATGCCCGAGGTGGGTGAGGTGTCGAGTGATTTCTCCTCAGGCCCGTTGGAGCATTCCAGCAGCAGCAGCAGCAGAGCTCCCCAGACCTGGGAGCTGGCTCCTCTCGGCTCCTTGTCCCTCCCAGCACTTGCTGCACCTGTGACCCCCTCGCTCCTTGTGATCTCCTGGGCCCTCTCTTCTACCCCTATGTCATCATCTTGTCCTCGTCTTCTTTTGCCTGTGGTTCATGGCTTGGCACCTTCTGGCTGCGGGTCTCTTCTGGCTGGGACCAGCTGTCACTGGCACCAGGGGATTCCCGGGTCCCACAGTGGCTTTCTCCCGTTGAGAAGAGGGATCCTCTGGATGATTCTTTCCTCAGCTGATGGGCTTTGAGTAGGCAGCTGCTCCTGCTTGCTCCCTGCCAGCCAGTGGAGTCACTGGTCCAGGCATGGCTCACAGTGCCAGGGCTGTGGCTGGCAGTGTGGCCGTGTGTTGAGCAGTGACTCTGCCTTGGTACAGCAAGGTGCCTTTACTGGGCTGTGCTGGGAGCTCCTGGGGCGGGGACCTAGCACGTTACCAGTCTTAGTGCTCTGCAGGTAACGTAATGAGGTGAGACAAAGTTTGTGACTAATGCCTTGTAATGCTGCTGGAGGGTGGGATCGCTGCAGTCATTTCCAGGAGGATAGTATCCTCCCTCTGACTTGGAGGCTGTTTTCCTCTTCCCGTTCCAGTCTAGTGCCCTGAGCAGAGGGAGTGGAGGTGGTGGGGCTGGAGCCTTTGCTGGGGGATTGGAGCTTGCTGGAGTCTGTCTCAGGTTGTGTTCACATGTCCCGTTGCTTTTCCAGCCCAGCACTTGGGGAGCCTAATGTGCAGTGGCCACTCCAGTCTGCTCTGCAGCCTTCTTGCTGCCATGCCCACGTGCTTGTGGATGTTTCCTCCTGAACTGACTTCTGTCAGTGAACAAAACCTGCACAAATGTGTCTGGGCTGAGCTCAGTGGTGAGACCGTGTGGAGGTCTGAGACCATCCAGCTCCTGGAGGTGACGCTGCCACTCTCCCTGGGTGGGGATGCCCTTGGGTGAAGTGCCAGGATGGATCTGTGTAACTGGTTCAGAATGAAAAGAAAAAACAAAACCTGGCTAAGCCAGGCTGGGTTTGCTTTCCAGCTCCAGCCTCTTGGTTTAGCTCCTGTCTGGAGCGGAGCATCCCCCAGGCCTCCCTCTCCTGGGGAGGGTTAGAGTGTCTGCCCCCTGGCCTGGGCGGTGCCCCGGGGCTCCTGCACCTATGGCTGTGGGGGGAGCTGCTTGTCTCGGGTGCCAGATGAGACAGACCTGGGAAGGGTGTGGAGGGAACGTGTCCTGCTGGTTTCAAACACCGCAGACCCACAAATTCTGACCCAGTCGGGGGAGTCTGGCCCAGCTCTTGGCCTGGAGCCCCGGGGAACCACACGAGCAGCCTCAGCTGTGTCCTGTCACACAGGGCTAAGTGACTTTTAAAAATCTTTGGCTGCCTTTCTGCCGTGTGGGAAGCTGGCCCTTAACTGGAGGTGATCCTCCCCTGGGGCACTGCAGCCCCCCCACGGGGTCACCGTGCTCGGCTGCCCCAGCTGGGAGCTTCAGTGGGCTGTGTGCTGGCAAAGCCAGCCCTGCCCAGGGGCCACAGGGCTCCTGTGTGCTGGCAGGGTCCTGGGGGGCACCGGGCACCACCCTCTGCCCAGCCCTCTGGGCCAGGGGCTCCTCTCCGGCAGGACCTGTGTGCTGGAGCTCGGTGTTTGGAGGTGTACTGGAAGTGCTCTTCAGGGAACAGCAGACAAATGTTTTCTGCTTAGAAAAAGTTTGCAAGTGGTGTTTGAGGTGGGAGGAGAGCTGAGGTGATGAGGTGGAGTCAGGGAAGGTGTGGTGATCTCTAAGGATGGAGAGTCAGAAATGCTTTTTGGCAGTTGGTTCCCCCCATCTGAAATCTGAAAAAGCAGACAAGGGATTGCTGGTAAGGAGGGGAGTTGAAGACTTTTTGAGCCAGAGTCCGTGTGACTCAAACCAACATCACCACTAGGCTGGCACAAAATAAAACAACTGTGGGCCAGCCCAGGCACCAGAAAAAGAGCAAGGGCAGAGCCTGATCCTCGTCACTGGAGCACGTTCTCTTCTTGCCCAGACCGAGGCCTGCCCTGGGGAAAAGGATCAGTAGATTGGCCAAGATGTAGCTGGATGCAAATCCAGATGACACTGGTGCTCCTTCCCCTGCTCCAGGCAGCCTCTCTTGTGCAGAACCCAGCGTGAGGAGACTCATTTTTTCCAAAGCCTCCAGGTATTGCTCTGGTGTGAGCTGCGATGAAGCGGCCGGGTCGTTGTCAGGAGTAGCTGCTCCTCTGTGGGCTGCTGTGCACGAGGGATGTCCTGGAGCCCTTCGGGTGGTAGGCTGAGGACCCTTCCCCCATCAGCAGTGTTTTGATCAGATACTAAGTTGAGGTGACTGACATCTTGTCGAACACTCATCTTTGTTCCACCCCTCTGGACGCAGAGACGTGCACAGACTGACCTGAGCTGGCACTTCTGTCCACTCAGAGCTTTTCTACTTTTTCAAGAAATGGGAGATTTTAAAGCAGCTGCTTAGAGCATGTTCTCATTTACAAGTTAATTCCTAAGTTTTGTGAAGCATGAAGTAACAGAGCTGCTCAGCTAATAGCAAGAAATTAGAAGTCCCTGGGGGAGTAGGTGTGAGAAGGGAGCTCTCTGGTCTTTCATCTGCTGCCTCTCACTGTGGTCCCTTCCCCGTTTCAGGATTCCTCATACCTCGACGAGCTCTCCAACAACAACTCCCTGTTCTCGTCCCCTGCGGATTCCCTCTCGGACATTGCAGATCCCAAGGACTTCCTGCCTGCAGACAGCCTGAACCACGTGCCAACGCTGTGGGATGTGAGCACGCCGCAGCAGAGCCAGGCAGAGGTAGGGGCTGCCCCTGCCCCACCCCCTGCCAGCCAGTGGAGACCTCGGGCCTCAGCCCCTGGCATTTGCACCAAAGGATTAAGAAACCATCCCAGTCCCCTGCAGGGCTGGAGTTGCAGTGTGATGATGGGATTTTGCTGTTCCCATCTTCGCTTGGGGAGGGAAGGGGTGAAGTGGTTGCACACACTTCAGTCTCCTGGGAGCAGGAGGGAATCCAGCCATCCCCAGAGGGGCACTGAGTGTGGTGCAGGCTCTAGCTCTTTGTTCTGGAGCTGTGGCAGGTAGGTGCATCACAGGGAACGTGTGTCCCTGACACATTCAGCAGGTCCAGAGTGGCCTGTGACAGGGTGCTCAGGAGTCCTGGAGAAATGGACTCCAGGAAGAACACGGTGACATAGATCATTAACTGTCCCCAGCATCAGCAGCAGCCCTTGTTTATTCTCCATAGCAAATGTTTTAGCAACAATGACTAAAAAACACATTCTGTCTCAACTCAAGACTAACAATTTGTGTTTACTTAGTGAGTCCAAGTCCCTGCAAGCTTTTACATCTCTGAGTTTTCCTGGGCGTGTGATCTCCCGGCAGTCCCACAGCAACATGTGGCTCTGGGCATTTTTGTCAGCCTCCTGCCAGCCGGTTTCCCTCCTCTGCTGGGACCAGTTACTCACTCTTGCACAACCTGGTATCAGCCACCAGCTCTGGGAGTGGGTGAGCCGGCGTCGTGCACATCTGCTGAGCCTCTGGGTCTCAGCTCTCACAGAAGGTGCCCAGCCGTGCAGTGGGTTTTGTTTGTAGGGCATCCTCTTGTGAAGACTGGGGGAAGAATGTTCAACGTGAACACCCCAGAAGGCAATCTGGCATCCCCAGCTTTAGTCACTGTGGTATTTAGAGGTTTGGTTGGGTCTAGAGGCTGCATTTTGCAGTTAGTGGTGTGTCTGACTATTTCCATCAGGAAAGCTGGCTGCTCGTCACAGCTTGGAAATAAGTCTTGGCATCAGTTCCACTTTGACATGCTGCTGCTGTGCGGTTCAGTGGCAGGTTGGGCATTGAGGGAGGGTGGCTTAGTGGCAAGGTTCCCAGCCTGGGGCATGGGAAATCAAAGTTCTGGTCTGCTTTAGACTTTCTGTGAGATCTTAGGCCTGCAGATCCTCCAACCAAACAGCTGAGCTCTTGCTGAAATCGCTGCCATTTGAGCACCTCTGTAGACCTTTGCAGTGTCTGCTGGCCCTTGGTGTGTCTGTGATGGGGGGCAGAGAACACCACCAGCCTTCCTCTGTGGGTAAATGTGTTGGAGACCCAGGGCCAGGCTGCTGGGCTGGCAGCACGGGCTGCACCAGTTCCAGCTTGAAGCTTGAGAGAGCAGGAAGAGAGCTGAGCTGTGGGAACCAGGGAAGGGGCTGAAGGCATCACAGGCTTCTGAACTGGATGATTAAAAAAGCTAGAAAAGAGATAGAGCCCCCAGGACAGAGCAGGCACGTGCCTGGTTCCTCCCAGTCTCCTCTTACTGGTTTTGTACGTCGTAGCCAAAATCCTACAGGAATAGTTCTGTGGTGTCCCGTTTCTAAACATGTGAACTCCAGTCAAGATACTAGATTCCTAAAAAAGCTTGTAGTTATGTACTGGTGGAGTATGCAGCAAAATAACTTCCTGGGAAGAGCTGCTGTAACTGCACTGTAAAGAATGCAAATGAGAAACAAATGAGTGGAGTGTGAGTGTGAGTGTGAGCCTGAGCGGGGTGCCCGGGGCGGAGCCGCCTCTCCGCTGGGGCTCGTGCTGTTCTCCACGTCCTTGTCCTGCAGAGCACTTGGGCTCAGATAAGGCCAATTAACTCCTTGGAACTGCATTTATAAATGACCTCTGTGAAGAATCTCTGGCTATTTTAAACGCTGTCTTATCTGTGTTTTCTGAACACAGAGGTCGTTGGCAGGGGGATTGGGGGTTTGGTTTTTTTTATGCAGTCTGACATTCCCTGATGAGGTGTCAGTTAAGTAAATCCCAGGCAGGAGATCCTGGTTTCATTTTTGCACAGGAGGTGGTAACTCACAGGTCGCTGGGTGGATGGATTGACTCATGATCAGCAGCTGTTCTGTCACCTGAATTTCAAACATGCTTGTTGCTGTTAAAGGCAGCAGACAGTGCTCTGTAGTAAAGGCTGCAGGAAAGGTCCCTGCTGTAACACTCGGTACAGGACGGAGACTTTGCTGGTAGCCCCTCACCAGTTTACAAGCTGTTCAGGTGATCTCTCCCTGCCCCTCTCAGTATCATTACACCACCATGATTTTCCATAAAATTGCAGGAGTTTTGGCACTGGGAGTCGCCAGAGCAGACCCTAAGCTGCAGCAGAGAGCTGAGCGTGGGTGACGTTACACCGTGGAACCTGGGTAGATGCCATCCTGGTCTCAGTACAGTGCCCCGGGTCAGGTGGGGCTGTGTGGTCAGCATTCACCCAGGAGCAGTGGTCACTGTGGTGTCAGGACAGTTGTTTTCCAAGAATTTCAGCCTCAGAGATTCAGGTGGAGCAGAAACAGTGTCTGTGAACAGCTCTGAGGCACGGCACGTGTCCCAGCCTGGCTGTGTCCTGCGTGCGAGGCCCACGAGACCCCAGGTGCAAAACCTGCCTTGGACCTTGTCCTCTTTAAAAGAAAAATCAGATAATCAGCCATCTTCTGTCGTGTAACAATTTGAAGCTAGGGTGTGGAAGAGACTCTATTATTGTATTTTCTATATTTTAGCTTTCCCCCTTCTCAGCTGTCGGTGGGGCTGGGGAGGTGGGTGTACAGGAGGGGGGACAGAGCAGAATGGGAGAGAAGCATCACAGTGAGAGTGCAATGCTGAGTGTTCCGGGCTCCAGGGACCCCTCACCTCGAGTGCCTGGAGCTGCAGCTTCAGGTGGAGTGTTGGTGACGCTGGGCAGGGCTGCTAGCCAGGAAGAAAGGAGCCAAATGTAACGTGTTGGCTCCTCTTGTCTCCTGGGGAATGGGCACGGAGGGAAGAGCTGCTGCACTGCTGGATGTCTGCAGGAGTTAGCAGACAAAACACTTGCTTCTCTGTAGTGCAGTTGTGAAACACCTTTTTAACCCAGTCCATGTAATCCATTGTGTTTGCTCGCAGCCACCTCATGCATTTACAGAGGTGTTAAGAGTGGGGCAGCAGAGCCCTGCCTCCAAAGTCCACAGCTAGAACTTCTGTGAGCTGCTGATGCTCTGACTCCTTCACAGCACTTGAAAAATGTGAACACCCTTCTCCCAGCTCAGCTCATCAGGGGCGAATTTCTGCAGAGGGGAGTTGGCTGGTCAGCCAGACGTGGCTGTTTCCCTTCCCATAGAGGTCACAGCAAGGTGGGGCAGAGTGGAGAGTGATGCAAAGAGGCAGAAAATGGAGTAGGACCAAGTCTTGGATGGTGCAGTTGTCAGTGGCTGTAGGGACTGGGGTGTAAGCAGGAGGGAGACTCAGTGTTCTCACGTGCTGCGTGTGCCTCTTCTGCTCGTGTTTGTAGACATGTAGCTTAGAGGAAGGAGGAAACCAGACTAGGAGGGGAGCAAGAGTGAAGAAAGGAAGGAATTGTGTGAGATGTGTCACCCACTGTAGCTCCTGGTCCTGCCTGGCCCTTGCCAGTGTCTTCTCAGCTGTGTGTGGGTTTTTCAGTGCTCCAAACGCCCGGGGTTTCTGTCGTGTCCTCTGTGATACCCGAGGTGAGGTGCTGGGTGCCAGAGCCCCAGTGCTGGATTGGGGCAGCAGGGATTTGCCCCTTGCAGGCTGTGGGGTGCCAAACCAGCCCTGTGTTGGTGTGCTGGAGCTGGGGGAAGCGTGTCCTGCCCCTCCCGTGGATCTCAGCCTCTCTCTTGCCTAAGAAGAAACTCTTACGCCGAGCTCAGATTTGTAGGTGGAGATGTTTCACCTGCTCTCCAGATTTGCTGGCACTGAAAATAGTTCTTCCGTCCAGCTTCCTTCTGGTAATTCTGACTCAGGCTTCCAGTAATGGAGGGTGTTTTTTTCTTTCTTCTTCTTTTTTTTTTTCCCTAAATTTTTTAGAAAAGGAAATAATCGGAGTGTTTATGCTGAAGAACTTCCCATCTTTCACTTCTGCTGGTGGAGCATGAGTCTGGCACTCTTTGCAGGCTATAAACCTGAAGCAGTGCTGCTTCTGGAGTTGCTGATTGCACTGGATGCCATGAGCTCCTGGCGTGACCTTGCTCACTGTCGGGAAATTCCACTGTGATTCTGTTTGCTCGAGGGCAGACAAAGGATCTCCTCGATTGTGCCTTCCCAGCTAGGAGTGTCCTTGGAGCTCTCCTGGCTGGCGGTGGTGCTGTGGGCAGGATGGTCCAAAGCCACCAGTAACTCTGACACAGGAGTTGGTGCCTGGAGACCCGTGCAGCCTGACCCCTGGCAGTCCCCAAAGAGATGCTCTTTGTCCTCCATCAGCAAATCCAGCCCAGAGCTCTCAGTTGGACTCCTCGGTTCAGAACAGAACCTGATCCCACAAGGAGACCCTACACAGCTCCTTTTAGCAAGGACCTGTCTCACTGGGAATGGCAGAGCAGTTTTGAACAGAGCTCCCTACACAGACTCATGGAATCCCTTGGGTTGGAAGAGACTGTTAGGATCATCGAGTTCACCCACCCCCAGCACTGCCAGGTCCCCACTGCCCCGTGTCCCTCACACCACATCTCCACAGCTTGGGAACCCCTCCAGGGGTGGGGACTCCACCACTGCCCTGGGCAGCCTGGCACAGGCCTGGGCAACCCTCCAGGGCAAGAAATTGTTCCTCAGCTCCAACCTCAACCTCCCTTGGCACAACTTGAGGCTGTGTCATCCTTTGAAGCAAATGGGAAGGCGGTGACTGAGGTAACTGCTCCAGAGCAGTGCAGGTCCAGTGCTGCCATTGTAAACTTTGATCAGGTCTGGACAGGTTCTGCTGGCTTACCACCCTGCTCTGCCAGTGGGGAGGTTTGCACAGGCCATCTGGTGGTGCTGAGGGGAGGCCTTTGGGAGGTGGGCTGGTGCCTGAGGTCTCGTGTTTCAAGGCAAATTTGGGCTGACCCATCTCAATGCCGTGTTGCTGTTGGAGCTGTGGGAGGACACGTGTCCCCACAGGGTCATCACACGTGGGCACAGGCACAAGATGGTCACACTTCTTGTGAGGTCAGTTATTCCCTGTGTTTATGTGTTGACAAAGGCATGTACCACAATAGCAAGATTTATTGGTTTCCAGAATTACTGCCTGGGGCTTTTTATTCACAAACAACAAGCATTAAAGTCCACTGATGCCACCAGAGTGCAAGATCTGGGTACAGAGCACAGGTATCTGCACTGCTGGTGTGTTGTGATGCCCGTTGGGGCTGGAGGGCTGTGGGCTCAGGCTGCTCTCTCACCTGCACCCTTTCTGTTCCAGCTGTTCTCACCCAGCAGGTCCTTCACTGGCTTGAACAGTTCCAATGAGCAGGTGTCTGCTGTCCCCAACACCCCGCTCCTCATAAGCTACCAGGTGAGAGCACCGGTGGGCTGGCAGGGGATGGGACCCCCGGCCCTTGGCTTGGTGACACCGGGTGTGGAGGGGGAGGTTCTGCCCCTTGTCCCTCCGGAGGGAGCGAGACGAGGAGCTGGGACAGACACGGTCGCTGCCCTCGCTGGAGCCTCCCCGTGCCAGAGGGTGGCCTGGGCTGTCCTGGCTTTGCCTCGTGCTGCTGAGCACCACGCTGAGCTAAAGCTGCTCTTGGTCCCTCGCCTGGGGCCAGCGAGAGCACAGCTGGGCAGGTCCCTGCTGGCCACAGCCCATCTGAAGGAGGATGCAAACGTCCTTCCCTGAGCCAGTGTGGACTGTGTTGGAAGGAGCTCTTAAAGCACTTTGCTGGCCCCCGTGTGGGCTCTCACTGACAGTGTTCCTCATGCTGCTGTAGTCTGAGAGTGGGATTGGTTGTATGGGAGGGTTTGTGAATGGGCAAAGGGATGGTCTCAGTGGTAGCTCCTGGCTCCCTGTAGCTCTGCATGTGTCCACGGCTCAATGGGAACATTGACATTCGGTCCATGCTGGGTTTGTTTCCAGTCTCAGGCTCCTGCAGAGGAGGAGGATGAAGGTGAGGAGGAAGAAACGGAAGAGCTGGGGCAAACGGAGACCTATGCAGAATATGTACCTTCAAAGTGTGAGTGTCTCACCAGTGCTGAGCACGGACAGTTCTGTCACCTCCATTGTGACCATCCTAATTAGTCGCTCCTGATTTTCCTGCAGGCAGCGTGTGGTGTGTGCCGTGGCACACCCCAGGCCTGTGATTTCCTAGAGAAACCTTCCCACTGTACTGATCCTTTGGTGCTGTGCTAATTTAACAGAGCACTTTTCTGTTGCTTGCTTTTGGGGGAGGCATGACCTGGGTTTGGCAATCTGAAATGTCAGTGGAACAAGCGTGAGGAGCAAGGGTCAGGCTTGTCCCTCCTCTTGCTGAGCAGAGGGCTACTGGTGATCAGTACAAGGCTTCCCATCCTTTTGTGGTGCCCCGTGAGAGTGAAGAGCTTGAGTTATCTGTTTTGTGTTGTCATTTAGCCAAGATTGGGAAGCACCACCCCGACCTCGTGGTGGAGACGAGCACTCTGTCCAGCGTCCCCCCGCCCGACATCACCTACAGCCTGTCCCTGCCGCGCTCCGTCGCTGACAAAGGGTCCCTCTCTGCACTACAGCTGGAAGCCATCATCTACGCCTGCCAGGTACACGGCTCCACCTTCCCAAGCTTGGGTGACACTGGGAGGAAACTGCCTTTGGTGCGGATGGACATCGAGTGTGTTTTAACACAACCTGTAATTCAGGTGATGAAACTTCGGCAGCCTTGGCATAATGCATTTCAGAGGCCTTTTGAAAGGGTTATTTGAAGGTGGGGACTTCTGTGGGACCTGCTTCCCACAGAGACAAGAACCCTTGACTTTTATTACAGAAAGGAGTGCTTTATATTTTGGGGCCCTGGGGCCCTTTTTTGTGAACTGCCACTGGTGATCTTGGCTGTAGCAGTTGACCTCTGCTCTCATTTACCTGGGCATCGTATCAGCGGGATGTGTGAAAGGATCAAGTGATGCTCTTCAAAGTTCACCTCAAAGTTGTTGGCAAAGGCAAATGTAGTTTAATTTCCAGTTCTGATCTTGATTTTGCAGCAACATGAAGTTTTATTACCCAATGGGCAGCGAGCTGGGTTCCTCATTGGGGACGGTGCTGGCGTTGGAAAGGGCAGAACAGTTGCAGGCATCATCTTTGAAAATTATCTTAAAGGGAGGAAAAAAGCTCTGTGGTAAGTTGTTGGTTTGGGGTTTTTTTTCCTCTTTTCCCGTAAGACCTTGGGGTTAGTTTGGATCTGGGAGGAAGGAATTCCTTAGTGCTGATGTTGGTTTCAGAGCTGACTCAGGCTGTGGCCTTGGGTAAGTCGTTTCCACCTCTGTGTGCCGGTTTGCCGCCTGTGGAACGGGAACGTTTCCCCTGCAGTGCTGGTGGAGAATGAGTCACTATGAAACAGCAGATCCTGGACTGCTCGGAGCGTGGTGTGGAGCCTGTCCCCACTCTCTTGGTGTGGAGCCTGTCCCCACTCTCTTGGTGTGGAGCCTGTCCCCACTCTCTGAAGGCAGTGGAGGGGCGTTCTGGGGCGTCCTGGGGGCAGGCTCAGGCCCCGGAGTCCAGGTTTTACTGCAGAGCTTGTGTGGGCGGCAGAGCGGAGCCCCTCGTGGCCTGTGGGCAGTGGGGGGCAGGAGGGTCTGGCAAACCTGCTGCTGCTGCAGCCAGAGCTGGCAGCCACTGCCTGTGCCCCGGCCGTCTCCCCGGCAGGTCGCCAGGCCCACGTCTTGCTTTGCAGGTTCAGCGTCTCCAATGATCTCAAGTATGATGCTGAGCGAGACCTGAAGGACATCGAAGCCTCCCACATTCCTGTGCATGCTTTGAATAAGGTAGGGGCAGAGGCTGTAGCAGGGTTTGGAGGATCAGCCCGTGGGAGCTGTTGGGTGGATCTGCCTTGGCACGACAGCGGCGCTTCTGCGGCCGCGGGGCTGGTGGCACAGGCAGGAGCGGACGGGAGCTGCAGGCTCTTCCCTCCCCTCAGCAGGCTCTTCCCACTGCTCACTCTTGCTATTTTTGTGTGCTCTGCAGAGCTGCATGGCGAGCACAGAGCTGTTCCCTGCAAGGAGGGAAAAGTGTCTCCAAGCAGGAGTGAAGTACAGCAGCACCTGAGGCTTTCTCTCTGTGCCTGGGGGGCCCTGCCAGGGCTGGGCTCTGCTCTCCTGGGCTGTCCTTTCCCAGCACTGCTTTCAGAGCCTGCCCGTGAGGGAGCACGTGGGAACACACAGATTGGTGCCTGGCAGGGGGCTGCAGCAGCACGGGGCTGGGCGTGTGGGTATTTCCCCCCTGCTGAGTGGATCGGGGCATTTTCAGCCTTTCTTCTACTTATTCAGTGCTGAGGATGAAACGTTGCTCAAGAGAACCAACCAACTATTGTTTAGTGGCTCTTCACAGGGTTCTTCATGGCCTGTTGTAGCCTCTTGCCCCATGCATCAGCCTTGTCCAGTCTTGTGCCTGCCCCACTGCTGGCCAGTGCACTGAAACACTCTCCTGGTTTTTAGTGGTATTACAACCAGGTCTCATGAAGCCAGTGGATGCCTCTGAATGCCTTCCACTAAGAGACTGGAAGGGATGTTTGTATTCAGGCCAAAAATCCTTTAAGTGGAACTTTCTTCAAATTTGGACCATGTTTTTTTTCCTCTTATCTTGTATTGCATTACAGATGGGACCCATGACAGTAAGACAGGCAACAATCTCACCTTATCAAAGAGAAAATTATTTTCTGGAAGTAATTAAAACAGATGGGAGGGTTCAAAACAATTGGACCATCTAAACTGTTACTTAAAATAATGAAGTGACTTCAGCTGGCCAGAAAGCTGAAGTCCTAGCGTGGTCTCCACATTTCACTGCATGCCTCCAGATGTGCTGACACATTGGCTGGTGGAACTGAGCCAGGCGTTTCAAGTCCCTGTCAGCACCGTGTCTCGTGCCAGATGGGAGTGCTGAGGATGTCAGCTCCCAACAGCTCTTTGTGCCCCTGCTCCCAGAGTGGGGTTTGTTCTCGGGGGCAGGAGCGTGTCCTGCACAGGCACAGCCCAGCCGTGGGAGAGGACGGGCACGACAGGCTGGGGACAGGCGTCCTGAGTGTGTGGGCTCTTCTTCCCCTCTGCAGATTAAATATGGTGACACAGCTACCTCAGAAGGAGTCCTCTTTGCCACTTACTCTGCGCTGATTGGTGAGAGCCAGGCAGGCGGGCAGCATAGGACACGCTTAAAACAGATTTTGGACTGGTGCAGGGAAAACTTTGATGGAGTTGTATCCTTTAAAACAAAAACAACAAAACCAAACCAAAACACTCAACACAAAACCTGGAGAGAGAAGAGCTGTGTGCTTGTGATTGGACTTGGGGAGGGAACAAAGGGCTTGGGGCCACCTGAAGTCCCTGGGAGCAGCTGTGCAAGGCAGGCTGGTGCCGGGGGTCGCTGTTGAAATGCTGTGAGCACACACATCCCCCTGCTCCTCCCTCCTCCTCCTCCTCCTCTGCAGGCTGCAGTGTTCATGGGAGGAGGGGAGAAATGCAGCTGGGATGAACCTTTTCAACATTCTTCTCCCCCGGCAGTACAAGACAGGCCACACCTTGGAGGTGAAGGGGGAGGGTGGGGAAAGGGCTCTGGGGAGCTCGGGACGAGCCCAGACCGACAGATCCTGGGCCGTGTGGGGAACGGGTCTGTCTGGCTGATGGTGGGACTGGTTCTTTGGGTGGTCCCAGCAGGCTGGGTTGTACTTTGTCTGCTCCCATCCTCAGGATGAAAATAGATCCTTTCTCCTTAACTGACACTCCCCTGCAGATTGTGTTTGATGAATGCCACAAAGCCAAAAACGCCAGCTCTACTAAAATGGGCAAAGCAGTGCTGGACCTTCAGAACAAGCTGCCTCAAGCAAGGGTTGTTTATGCCAGTGCCACAGGTAAGCTCCTCTCAGTGTTGTGTGGGTGCCATGTGTGAACAGTGGCCTGTCCCCTCCGTGATCTGGGGGTGCCCCTGAGATGTGAGCGTGTACGCCGAGAGGCCACGCTCAGGCATGAGGAGCTGGAGGGGCTGTGGTGCTAGTGGGGAGCTGAGGGTGCTTCCATCTGCCCTGAGCCCCATCACTGCCATTACTTGTGACTTTTTGGCAAGTCAGACTGATTCCCTCCCGTTTAGCTGGTTCCTGGCCAGCTGTTCAGCTGCACGGTGCTGCCCACAGTGCTCGGAGGGCAGTGCTTGGAAAGGTCCTTGGGTCTCCTAAGACACAATGGCAAATGACTGTCCTCTTAAGAGCTCACCTTACTTGAGTCAACACTACTCACAATTCTGTTCAAACAGGTGCCTCTGAGCCAAAAAACATGATTTACATGAGCCGCCTGGGGATCTGGGGGGAGGGCACCCCTTTCAGAGCATTTGAGGAGTTCCTGCATGCAATTGAGAAGAGGTAAGTCGTGTCCAGCTCCCTTCTCATGTGGCTTACGTTTTGTGGCAGCCTTTGTTTGGGAACAGGGTGCCATGCCTGAGGACTGTGTCTGAGGGCAGCTCGAGCAGGAGAGGTGGTGGTTCTGCAGAGCCAGCTCCCCAGAGCTGCCCGTAGCAGAGGAGCTGTCACAGCTTCACTTCCCTTCCTCTCCCAGGGGCGTCGGTGCGATGGAGATCGTGGCCATGGATATGAAGGTCAGTGGGATGTACATTGCCAGGCAGCTCAGCTTCACTGGAGTGACCTTCAGAATCGAGGAGATCCCACTGGATCAGCAGTACAAGATTGTCTACGACAAGGCAGCGAAGCTGGTGAGCTGGTCCCACTGCAGGGCTGGGACTGGTGATTGATGGTGCTTTGGGCAGGGCCACTTGGTGCCTGGGTGGGCTCAGGGCCCCTAAACGTGGCCAGGGCTGCAAACTGAATTTGCTCGTAGGAAAGCAAAGGGGTACACGTGCTCAGCTTATGGAAAAAAGGAAACCTGTGCTTTTTCCTCCCATTTAAGAGTTCCATATTTGCAAACCAGAGCTTGCAAATGATGCTAATGCAGGAAGGGAATGACCAGACTGTTCCCTCAGCCCAACCCAGCAGCAGAACTGCCACTGTTAGATCAGATGATCAGCCCCTGACTGCTCCAGCCACCTCCTGCACGGCAGTAACGACATGAAGACTCAGGTATTAACTCAGCCCTTCTCGGTGTCGTCTGCAGTGGGCAGAGGCCTTGGTGGTGTTCCAGCAGGCGGCCAACTGGATCGGGCTGGAGTCCAGGAAGTCCCTGTGGGGCCAGTTCTGGTCAGCCCACCAGCGCTTCTTCAAGTACCTCTGCATTGCTGCCAAGGTCCGGCGCCTGGTGGAGCTTGCCAAGGAGGAGCTGGCAAAGGATAAGGTGAGGAGGCAGCAGAGCCCCACTGCTGCAGCCAGCAGCCTTACCTCACAAGGGCTTTCTTGTGCCCTGAATCCATAGGGGGTTAACTGTTGTTTGGCTGACTTGGAAGCGATTCCACAGCTCTTTAGGGCAGAGTTTCAATCCAGGTGAACCAGAGCGAAGCGCAGTGTCTGGGTTTCTCATGGTAGATCTGGGCAGGGTGATCTGAAAGGGTCTTTTGGGTCATGGCCAAGCTAGAAGAGATAGCAGATGCTTTACCTTGAGCACAGCTCTTTTCCTTCGTGCATCTGGATGCAGCTTGGAAATGCCAGGCAGAAACTACCTAGTGAAGTCAGTTGGCTTCAGCAGTCAGAGTCATCCTCACTGTGCTGTGAGCAGAGGGACAGTTCTGGATGCTGAAACGTTTGAGAGACGGTGGACCCCTGCTGCAGGTCCAACACGTGTTGGGATGGGGTTGAAGGGAACTATCCCTGGAACTGTGAAATACAACTTCTGGAGCTGGGAGCTGTTTCCCCCTCCTTAACCCCTTCCTCAGCTGTCCCTTGTGTTTCCCTGCAGTGCATTGTCATCGGCCTGCAGTCCACCGGGGAGGCTCGCACCAGAGAAGTCCTGGACGAGAACGATGGGCATCTAAATTGTTTTGTTTCTGCTGCAGAGTGAGTTAAAAATCCCTGTTTTTCTTCTGGGGGGGAGGCTGGAGGTGTGCGAGGGAAGGCCCTGCCCTGGGGCTGCTGATCACTTGCAGTTCTGGGAATGCAGTTTCACAACACCTTGCCCTGTACTGGCAGTAAGTGCAGAGGACGCTCAGCTGGGTCCTTGAGGCACTATTCAGTGTGACTTTATCAGCTAGATCTCGGATTTTGGAGTCTCCTGTGGTCCAAACTTGCCTGAGTAGCACGATCCAACTCTACACACGTAAAGAACAGGCAGGTGTAGGAGAGCCAGGAACGTGAGCTCAGATGTGGTTTGTGCGGGGCTGGCTCTGGAAAACGGGGCTGTTGACACTGAGGAATGATGAAGAGAATCTCGTGTAGTATCAGAGGCTGGGATGGTGCCGAGGTGGCAGCACTGGAGCAGGGAGAGGGAGCAGTTCAGGTGCTGCAGTGTTTGTGCTGTCAGCACGTGCATGAGGCAGGACCAGTGTCCTGGGTGTGTTGCCTCCATTCCTTGCTGGAGGAGAGGTGGTAGTGCCTGGAGCGAAGCCAGCAGCAGGACTCGTGCTGCCCTCTCAGCAGAGCATGAGGACATGCTCCCCCTCATGTCTGCAGCTTCCAGAGTACCAGCCTGTCCTGCAAACGTGGCAGTTCCTGCACGGTGGGGGATGAAGAGCTGGGACAGTGGCATGAGTTGTATTTCCAGGGTTCCTGTTTTCTTTTGAAGTGATTGTTAATGCACGTAAAGTGATGGGAGATGCCAGAGACTGTGTGTGTCCAGTTCAGGACAAGCTTTCCTCCCTTATCCACAGGGGGGTTGTGCTGGTTGGTGTTGCACTGCTTGTCTCCAGTCCATTCCTGAAAAACAAGTACCAGTTTGGTGACAGTTTGAGTCTGACCACTGCTTGGGTTGATTTGGTCTCTCGGGTCGGTTTCCACGTCACAGAATTCAGAGGAACTCTGAGGGGTGGTGAGGCCCCTCTGAGCCTTGCTCAGCTGCTGGAGGAGGAAGGGTCTGCTGGTGATCACAGCTGCTCGACCTGTCCCCAGTTGCAGAGGCAGGAGCACGTTGTTCACACGCCGGGTGCCTTCTGGCATCTGCTCAACCTCCGAAAGCTGCGTCCCGGTGTTACAGCGCTTCGGGGGATTTCTTGAGGGGAGTGTGCTGGGAAGAAGTAGCTGTTTAAAGGATACGAGAAACGGGGTTAAAAATAAATGTCTTGTGCAGTGAGTGAGCTCCAGCCCAAGGCTCTGCTCGTGGGGGAGGCAGCAGGGGCAGAGTCACTGCAGGGAGGCTCCAGGCCTGGGAGCGACTCGCTGCGTTTTGGGCCCAGGGTCCCCCCAGCCAGAACGGCCCCTCCTGGTGTGCTGCAGAGACCGAGCAGCCCGTGCCAGGCTCTGCCCTTCAGGGCGTGGTGCTGCCCCTGCCTCCCTCAGCCCCCCGCCCCAGGGCCTCGGAGCCCTCCCTGGTTCCCGAGCCTCCCGTTCCCCCAGGGCCGAGCTGTCGCGTCCCTGCCCCTCGGCTGTCGCTGCCAGAGGTGGGGGGTTCCAGCCAGAGCTCATCCAGCACTGCCTCCTCATCGCACCGGCGGCTCATCCCCTCCAACATGATCAGCATTTAAGCATTTGTTATTTTATTTGCAGAACAGCCCTCAGAGACATTCGTTTTCCACCTCTTCTGATTTATTTTTTTCCATTCACCTGAAACCCCCACGTTTTGTCACTCTGCTGCCTCGTGGCCAAACGAGCCCACACCCCATTCATCAGAGGACTTGGTGGAGCACTTGTTGGACAGCCCGACGGTGGGCTCTGCTATCAGAGCATGGAGAGGGGCTGGGACTGACTGGATTTTTCCATAGTGATGTAACAGCTTCCCAGTATAGCCTTTCCCATTTAAAACTCCCTCTTAGTCGCTCTATAAAGGTCTTTGGCTCAGCCCCCACTCCCGGGGCAGATCCCTTTGGTGAAACAGGCTGGTCCTGAGCAGCCACTGCTCTGGAGAGCTGTGCAGGGCCAGCCACGTGCAGGGAGCTGCGCTGCAGGATTCACCCCTCTCATGAAATGTGGTGCTGTCTCAAATACACATTGCTACATGATAACCGGCAGATGTTCCTGTTCCTGGTAGCTAGAATAAATTTTGCATCTTACTTTCAGAGGCGTCTTTCTATCACTAATTCAGAAGCACTTTCCTTCAACCAAAAGAAAGAGAGAAAAAGGAACTGGCATTAAAAGAAAACGTAAGAGCACACTCCACTGCCCAGCATCTGCCCTCCTGCCTTGCTGCTTCACCCCAGCCACTCAGCTCTTTCTTTTCCTTTTTCCCTTTTCCCTACTTCATGCCTTTTGCTCCTCTGCCCTGGTTTCAGTTTGCCCTCCTGCACCACTCCCGCTCGCTCTCATCCGGAGGACGGCAGCTCTGGGTCATTCACCCTCTGCTCCCTCTAACCCACTTCCCTGTCACAGCGTAGGTCCTCGCCTCCACCGCGTGCCCGGTAGCTGTGCCCCTTTCCCCCAGCTGCTTCCTGGCCTAGGCTGGGGGCAGGCTGGGCAAGAGTCCTGGCTGCATGGCTGGAGCCCTCCTGCAGCGAGGGGGGTTCTCCACTTCCCCTTACTTAGACCATGGTAGGAGTCCTGGGGGGAAAAAAAAAATCACTTCCCTGCCAAATGATTGGCTGTGGCTGCAGGTAAGAAGAGTTTTGGGATTTCTTCTCCGGTGGGACGTGGGGAAACGGGGGCAGCAGCACTGGCAGGTTGTGGAGGTGGTGCTGACTGGCTGCTGTGGCAGAGCAG